GAAACCTATAGAAGTAACACTGGAAGTTAGTATATCTCAAAAATGTATCAGTAGAAAGTTATTTTTAACTTTTTGTTTGTCTTTTCTCAGAAATAGAAGGTGTAACTAGCTATTTATGAGCACAAAACTCTAGCTTGTCCCTAAATGCAATAGCTGCCTATGTAAATTACACAAAGATAGTTTAAAACAATTTTTAAAATTGTCATTCTCTTGCATTTGAAATCTTCAGTAGTTCCAGTGAGCAAAGTAGACCTCTGCCCTGAAAGGATATACTTCCTATGTTCAAACTCATAATTGTGAAATAAATTTTAAAAATGGTCTATACTCTGAATTGTATAGATCTTGATTATATGAATCTTTAGATTTTTTCATTATGTACACAATTTGAGAAGTTGCATGATGTCTCAGCAGCCTTGAAAATGTCATATGGACAAAACTATAACAGTAAAGCAGTGGTCACTGACAGTGTATCACCATGGGCCCCACTGCTATTTCTTGTCTTGCATAGGCAATGAAGAGGCTGAGAAGTGCAGGTAGTGTTTTCATCTCTAAGCCTGGGCCCTTTGTGACAGGATTCTTACTACACAGGAGGGGAGGCTGCCCCTCTTTAAATGTGCTCTTTAAATCCGGCTGATGCTTTCTTTAAAAAAGAAAAGTTTGCACGTTTCTTGTTTTGTCATCTGTGTTGGTGGATGCATATGTGCAGATACATGTGAGGTTTACATACACTTAGGCAAAAACTCCAAAGCACAAAGCATGCAAGTTAGGTAGGTGATAGTCTCTTATTTGACACCTAAAATTTTAGGTACATATTGATAAGCAAGGCACTCACATTGCTTTTGATCTGAATGGTCAATTTGTCCTACATGTGCAAAGACGATCAAATTGAACAACATAGAGACAAATATCTGCTTTCTGAGACCATGCTGAAAAACTGATGCAAGAAAAGATATTATTGAATAAGGATTTGCAAATGTAAGGTACAGGGCAGTATGGCAATTCTTTTATGTACCAAGAGTAAGATCATTTAACTTGCTTCTCAAGGCTTCTGAGCCAAAGTTTACTGTTTGTGCGTGGGAATGCCTTGTGACTTGGCATTGTATTTGGAGGTCTTTTAAAATACACAAAGACCTGGCATCAGTTAAGCAAGACTGTTTTGTCCTGTTGCTAATCAATAAGATGACTCAGATGGTAACCTGAAATATAATGTCAGAAATTGACACTGGAGAAAGGAAGTCTAGTTTTTCATATTCTCCACAGCTGGAGGATTCTGAATGTTACCTTTGGTTCGTGCCAAGGTATTGGGTGTCTCCCACTTTGATACCGTAGGCAAGTAGAAAAACTTTTTCCTGTGCTGAGGTTTTGCTTAGATTATCCCAATTCTTCAGAGAGACAGTTTGCTTTTACCTAAAAAAAAAAAAAAAAAAAAAAAATCCTGCAAGAAATTTTAAGAGACTTACAGAGCCTCTCAGGGTTTTTTAACCATTTTCTCAAGTAAGTGGAGTAGATGCGGTGGTGGTGGTAAGACAGGAAAAGACTTTTTACCACAAGCACAGATTAAATACATCTTATTCATATCAGGTCTTGCCCCATGGTGAGACATTTTAGTTTGGAATGCACCTCTGTAAGTTGATCTTACTGGGCATCTTTAATGAATGTTTCCTCTTCAGGTGGTCTCCCCATTCTAGTTTGATTTCTTTTTTTTTGGGTCTGAGGACAGAGCTCATCTATAGTCTTTAATCATTAACCCCTCAGTGGCAGCCCCGATTAATCTCTTGTAGAAATACGCTGTAGAAATGAACATACTGCTAAACTACAAGAGGGAAGTTACATGGCTGGAGCAGACACTTAAATTTATTACAAGTGAACTTTTCAGAAAGCAAGTCTGCGTGCGTTTGTGGAAAGCACAGAATAAGGCAAAGGAGCAACCTCCCATAATGAGCTTTTTGCACACTGCTTAAAAGCTTATTTTCTCTGCTTTGGCAATGAAGTAATGGCATGTCCCTTTGAACTACAGAAGAACAGTAAACCATAGGATTGAATTAACAACCACGATCTGAATGATTTTTGTAAAAAGTACTCTGCAGCTTGAGCCTTATAGAACTCTAGTATTTTCTTCTTAGTTGTTCCACTGGGTGGCACAACTTCTTCATGGTCTTTTCAAAAATATCACTCAATATTTGGATATATCAAATTATTTACACTTATTTTGTGTCTATGCTGAAAGCTGCAGCCTTGAGTTCTGATCATGTTTCCTAGCTGCATGAAATAGAGACTTAAATGAGAGACAAATGTCATCTTATTCTCTCTAATCCATGACAAGAACTAACATGCTCCCTCCCAGTCTCTCCTTTTAAGTTCCAGTTTGCTGTCTCGTGTATAATTATGATTAAGGAAATAGATTGTTTTTTAAGTGAAGTGTTTTGTTATAGTGACAGAGACTGAGGTATTTCCAGATGTTATCTCTAGGCATCAGACTTACAAATAAAAAATAACATTTGCACAATTGTAGTGGTTCTCTCTGTCAGTTCTGCCCCTACCTCCATTTATTTTTGAACCTAGGAGTTAATTTCAGTGATATGCAAAAGGGATGTAGAACTCGCAGAGATGTTTAAATGGGTACAAAATTTGGGAGAACTGGCATGTGACTAGAGGAGAATCAAGCAAGCCAAGATTCCCCCTCAGCGAACTCCAGCATTATACAAAACATTTGGTTGTAGCTAATCAGTTGAATTATGCTTGACCATCCAATTAGCACTCATGCATTGTTAGATTAGCTACAACTGCTTTCTAGCTGTTTTTTGCAGGATGCAGCTGGAAATACTTGCTGCAGGAATTGGGTCATGACAGTAGGGGACAAACTTATAAGAAAACCAGTTCATTAGTTATACTACTTGTCTAACAACTAATATTAAACCAAGTAAATGTCTCGGTGGTCCGATTCATGCAAATCTTTCATGTAGGATTCATATGCTTTTATCTTTCAAGATGCTTTGTTTTTTATTTGTCAATTCTTGTAGATTCATTTCTCTTTTTCTAAAAGGTCTATGGTAGGTTTAGTTCATTTGTGACTATAAGAGGAGAAAGGCTGTAAGGGTATTATGTATGGCAAATTTTGGATCCAGAGCAGTAAATCAGGATTATTTTTTTAAGAGCTAATTTGTCCATATAAGCAAAATTCTACACTTCATTTTTGTGTCTAGTGCTTCAGCTTTTCTGCTTTTTTTTTTGAGCTACAGCTTCTATGCCCCTAGATCTTTAAACACATGGGATAAATTCCCTTTGACTTGAGTGTGGTTCTACCAGCCAGAAATTTTGCTTCTGGCTTCTTTTAGGACTTAAATTGTGTGTGCTGCAAGAAAATGTCAGATTAGACTCAGGAGGAAAAGAAATATAAAAAAAAAAAAAAAAGTAACCATGAGAATAAACTATGGCCTGAAAAAAGTCAGTTTTTTGTACTTAACTCTTTCCTTCTTATAGGGAAGCTTCAAGAGGCAACTTTAACTTCCTTTTACAGAACAATATGCTACAAATGTGAAATAGCCTGCAAAATAACTTTGATTTCCTAATTGCCCTTATTAGTGTTGCTTCTGCTGTTCTAATTGTGCTGAGGTATGCTAATGTCATGTGTGTAGAACATCATCTTCCTTGCTAGCACTTTAGTTCCCCAGTTCTGTTGCTAAAGTGCATCTGCTGAAGGCATTTGGCTAGCTGGCCTGTGCAGATGGCTAGGGAGAAATGAGGTTCTGAGGAGGCTAAGTGACAAAAGTGAAGTTGTTAGCACTTCACTGCCTGTCTGTGCAGTGGTGGATGGTGAAAGAATGAGTATGGGGTAATGTGGATGACACTCTAATTCATTGCATGCCTTTCAAGCTTTCAAGTAGTGGCTGGGCTGGCTTGCTAAGGGGATGTGTTAGGAAGAAGAGTGTTTTCCCTGTGGGTTCTTGAAAGCTGTAGATACTCTGCACATTCTTGTACTTCATTGGAAAGAAAAATCTGTAATTGTTATGTGTGCAAAAAGGATGTTTGCTTGAAAAGGTGAGGTTCAAAGCTAGGCTCTGTATGAAAGAGAATCTACAGGTAAGGTGAGAATGTAAATACTTATGCCAGGGAATAGTGAAAACAGGAGGCTTGGCTCCAATTTTCCTTTCAGTTCTTCTCTCTCTCTTTTCTGAAAGGGGACAGGCCTTCTTAACCCTTCAGTACCTATGTTTTATGAAATGTGCTTCATACTGGCTGAGTATGGCTGTGTGGCTGTATCAGTAGAAACCTTGTAGCGATATGGTTTCTCACTTTGTTTAGGAAGTAGGTGGAAGGTACAGCTAAAACACTTTCTAGGTGATAGAGCATCTCTGCTGACTTAAATCCCAAGAATTTCCACCATCAGTTTAATTTCTTCTTTAAAAATCTATGTTGGTTTTGAAAAGGATAATAAGGCACTTGGTTACTGGGTGCAACAATCCCAACAGTTGTCTGGGCTCTGTCTGCTACTTTAAACTTTAGATTTTTTTTTTAAGAAATTAAGGTGTTTTGTATCATTTATTAGCCAGGACACTTTCTTTATGAACTACTATCTAAAAATAACCTCTATGTTGTCCATCAGAACAACACTGATTTCTTATAATATGAAGTGAGAGGAAGTGTGGCTTCTCATTAAGGTGAGAATCTAAACCTCTAAACCCTAAATTATTTATTTTTGTCAAGCTGTTTTTCTAGCTCTCATACTAGCCCACCTAGCTAGATGTATAATTAGTTTCAACATCAGAAGGACTTCAAGTAGAACGGTGCTGTGAACTAAGTGGTCTGGTTCCTTTCAAGTGCCAACCTACTGCAAAATAGATGTAGAAAGAAGTTTGGTTTTTGTTAGCGGTGGTGGGTTTTTTGTTGTTGCTTTTTGTTGTTGCTGTTTTTTCAGTCTTCCAGTTTTATACCCTTACTGACACAGGTAACTTCGGTAGAGAATTAAAAAAGAAAAAGTAATGGACCTTTTTTTTCTTCAGAAAAAAATTACAGAGCGTGAAACACTTTTTTAGAAGTCATCAAACTGCTTTTAGTAGCTAGTTCCAGGTAAGCAATTACAGTCCAGGTAAGCTTTAGTAAGCGATACTAAAGAGGGGAATTTCTATTGGTTACAGATGATTAGGGAGCTAACAAATTTCATACAAGAATAAGTGATTGTAGAGAGTTTTCTGGTCTTAAATGAATCATTGGCTTACTGATAATCTGTCAGGCTTTTCTAGTGTACTCTGTAGGAATGGGCCTTGGATTTAAGAATGTCTGTCATTAAAAGTGACTATTTAGGATATGTCTGTAAGGTGTGATGGGTTTGCTCTTGGTGTGTAGAAATTCCTGTTGTTGGGTTGCTAATAATGTTCTTTGAACTACCTAGCTGAAAGCTTGTTTTATCTGCAAGAAAGTTTGTTGCTCTTCGCTAACAGAAGATGCATAAATAAGAGAAAATATAAAAGCAAGGAAAACAGAGAAGGGACAGGTGATGGACCTTGAAATAAATCCAGTGCCTGTTGCAGACAGCTATTAGCATTTAGCTCTCCATCTATTATATTATATAGGATGTTTTTAAGGACTGCGGTTTAGTGGAATACATAGCAAAGACAGAAACAGGGCCTGTGGTGAAAACTCCAGCAAACAAACAGTAAAGGATAATGCTAGCCATAAAGGATAAGGAATATGGAGATTGTAGTAATTCAGATTGTGTAAGAACTTGAAGGCAGAGATATAGGAAGGAACTTCACAAACATCAAGGAACAGAATATACAGAAGAGAAATTGAGTCTTGAATGATGAATTTGACTGTACTGACCTGAGAGAGCAGAATCACTTTACTTATCCTGTAGAATTGGTTTGCACAGAGTTTGTTGTGTTTTTTACTTGTTTTAATTAAAAGATCAATAAAAGTATGAGGAATGTGAGAAAACAGACTGACATGGCAAGTTCTTTGCTGATTGTCTGGGGAATAGTTCCGAAGACAGTATTTGAAGGAGCAGGAGACATCTTTATTGAGGTACATTCTTTAAATGGATGTCGCCCCAAAGTACTTGCATTCTGCTTGCTCACAACTCAAGGATGACTTAGAGAAAACTAGTAAAGTATAGATCAGTCCCTGGAGGAAAAGGTAGTAGATGAAATAAAATTCAAGAATTTTGTGCTGGAGTTAACTCTTCCAATCCTGCAGTTAATCACGTAATTGGTGCTGTATGTGGATTCAATAGTTTTACTGTATATATCAGCTTGCAAATATGAATGATGTGAATGATCTTGTGCCCAAGTCATATTTCAGTATGTTCACATCAGTTTAACTGTGCAGTAGTTTGCAGGAGATTTTCCTCCAGTGTTGTTCCCCAGTGGCATGATGGGATGTGACATTAGATGTATGCAGTGATATCTTTTTGTAACTGTATATGAAGTAAACCTCCTACTCTGTTTAGTCAGAGAGAGGTTTAAAAAAGAAATGAATGAAAGAACCATGAAATCAAGAAGTTAAGGTTAATGGGTCAAAATTTTACCAAAATAAAACTCTCAATGACTTTTGCCTGTGCATGGGCTGTAGGATTTAGCCGTATGAGAGTTAACAAGGTACATAAGGTCTCCTGACTCTTCTGATTGCCAGAAACCTGTCTGGATTGTGTCCAGATATACATTCTTAATCACAGCAGATTAAAGAAGCTAGTATAGAAAATGATGTGTACTGTTTAATATTGTCTATTCTGCATCTATGTAGATAGGTAGAGTAATAATTATATGAAAATGAGAGGAAAAACATTATTTTAATCTGCTGGTGTTTTCCTCATTTGCCTGTTTTCTGTGAAGGTTGTTATTTTCAAGTAAGCTGCGGTCTTAAAGATTCTGTTAGTTCTTTTTTACCTTGGAAATAGTTTTTGGTCTTTAAAGCTATTGTGAATCTCCCCCCTCCGTGAAAAAGAAGTCTCATTAAATGTTTGCAAGTCTTGTTTATATTCCCATAACATTTTTCATTACGCTATGACAGCTTCACTGAAAAATTATTTTAATTATCTCAAAATGAATCGCACAAAGAGTGAATATGAAAATATAAATCTTGTATCTGACTGTACTTTAATTGCTCTAGCTAATGAAAGAGGTGTGAGATAATCTGCTCAATGCAAAAGCTAAATTGCATGAACAATATAACCAGTATTAGAAATATGCTGAATCTGTAGTATTTGCACTTCTTTAGTGGGAAGATACGGAGACTGTACCTGTTTTGCAGTGCTTGCTTTCTGCTACTGATTTGACAAGCTAATTTCATTGGGAAATGGTGTTGAATTTACCTATTAACTATCTCCTGTTCTGTAGGTCAGCACCATCAGTGAACAAAACAAAGTAAATTTATGTTCCTGAAGCTGGGACTCCTCTCCTGCCAACCTATCCACCAGAGTTCAGTTATGTGAGTAGTTCATATGTGGCAGAGTAATGGGAGCCAATGCCTTGTATATGTTGTTAAAGCAAAATCTCCATTGGCTGTAGAAAGTAGTAACATATTCCTACAAGCGCGTCAATAATACAAGACAAAAATATGCACCAGCGGACAAGAGGATGATTTTTAAGTATATACACATGTAACAAATCAAATCTGTTGGCTTAATTTGTTTTTGTCTTTTTCCACAGTAGAAATCTTAGCTTTATCAGTTCTTAATCTTATAGTCTTTGACTGAATTTTATTCAACATTGCAAACATGCCTTTTACTTTTACAGTTTTCTGAGCTTTCAGCTGTTTAGAATTTATTGGTTGAAGGTGAATTCAACAAAGAACAAGGGTTTGATGGAAAACCCATGTTAGAACCGTTAACTTGTCAGTGACTCTTCCACTAACATAATGCAGGAGAGCTGCAGGGTTATTAACCAACAAATCTCTCCTCTGTAGTCTAAGAATATCTCCCAATTGGGTGCCTCAGTGAAATGCCATGTGTTATAAATGGCAAAGCTGATTTTGAACTTACAAGGATAGTAAGGAAGGACTACTGGAGCTTTGATATTTAGCAGAGTGGTAATGGACATGTTGCTCTACACGTAGCTATCCCTTAGTAATTGCTTTTCCCCAACAGATCAGATGCTTCTTATCTTGTACTAATGTCACAATTCAAAATCCTGGTATTGTTTACAGTTGTCTTCAGAAGGTTTGCATTTACCTTTTTATTTATGTTTATTTATTCTGTCTTGAGATAATCTTAATCTTTAAATCTCAGAGGGCTTTTCCTTGGTTCACAAATATCGTACCAAGTTGCAAATCTGTGTGATTAGTGACAGGCATTAATGTGAACTCGCTGACTCAGGAACTTAGTAGTGAATAGGAGAGACTTTCACTTTAGTCAAATCAGCAATGACAGGATTTTTTTGCCATCTGATGGCTGCTTTAGGTTCTTATTGGCTGAGGATGTTTTGAATTTGTATAGTACATAGAATCTTCTATTGCTATGTTTTGCCTTCTGTTTTTTTAACAATAACAGTTTTATCTAGAGTAGCATGCTCTAGCAGATTTGTCACTGGTATAAATCGGAGTGATATTACTATCCTTTATCCCAACAGTTCATCTGGCTCAGTGTATCTCTAATAACATGGCATGGAGGCATGAAACCAAAATTGTGGCACTTAGACTTTTTCTGGAAATGTTGTTTTCTGAAAATATTTTTCACAGGAGAAAAGGTTTAGGTACTTGCAATTAATGCTGTCTTCTAACATGCAAAGAACCCACGCAGGATGATCTCAGATTGTTGGAGAATCTAAGTTACCATGGTATTATATGTGTTAAGGATATAAAACATTTTCACATCCAGCTTCATTATTTTACTGTTAAATACTTTTCCCCTAACGATGTGTTTTCCATCTAAGATTTCTGTCTTTTTTCTCTGCCTTGAACTTCGGCTTTCTGTCACTTCTCTGTGTTACATTAACCTGTACTAGGCAGTGTGATAATTTGACTCTTGATAACATGAACTCCCTTCTTGCAGTGGGCATCATTAACTTCCTCCCTTCCACGGTGATCTGATCTCTGGTTTGTAACTTCTCACATGTTATTGAAGTTCTACTCAGGTTGCTAACAGATTTTCATGGTATTTTGCTGTTTAAAAAAAAAAGTCTAAGTATTGCAAATATAGAAAGTATATAAAGAAGTTAAATGAACAGACAACAGTTTCAGTAGGTTTTTTTGCAGACACTCTCTACAGATACATATCTTAAACACCAGATGAATTTTTAGAATGTCACTGCATGAGAATGAGTAAGTCTTCATCATTTGAATGTGTACCAGGCTGAATTTGTTCCAGGCTGTAGATTCACTGAAGGAATGTCCCACTAGGGAGCAGCACCATCTATATTCTTCTTTCTCAATATTTAAACTAACTGCATATTATTTCATACTTGTCAAACCTTTCAAGGCGTTATACTCTTTCTACACTGTTATTTGGAACTAGTATTTGAAATCTGTTATAGTGTGTTTTTGTTACTAAATCTATTTCACCATAAATATGTGTTTACTTAGCTCCCTCCAGTGACTTGAGGAGCAAATAAGTCCATGGTGTGCTATCATTCTAGATATTGCAAAACAAATTAACACTAATAGCAAGTTCAGTTCTTTAGATGAAATTACATGTAGCGTTCTGCAGCATAATGGCTAAATACTATGTGCTAAAGCCACTGCAGCTTATGATATTCGGCAGTGGCTGCTTTTCCACACAATTCTTTTCTTATTAGTAATGCTTTCTTAGCAGAATTAATGAATGAATTTGACATTAAATGGGAGCGAAAAAAACCTCACACTTCTAAAAGAGCGTTAATATGTTTAGGAGAGAAAAGAGTGGATTCGGAATGGAAATTAATTTTCTGAGTTGTGTTAAAGATGCTACTTCAATATTTATAATGTTATGCAGGAAAATATTAGCTATAATCAACTCTGGAAGCAAATACACACTGTATCCTGAGGAAAATCTGTGTGCTTTTACTAGTGATAGGATGAATTAAACAGAAAGTACATTTGTGAAAATGTTTCCTTTTTTTTAGATGTATGAAGAACAACAAAATTACAGTTATTTATGAGCTAAATTGAATCAGAACTCTCTTCAAGCTGAAAAAGTATGGAGAATGATGTGCAGATAAATTGCTGTAGTATTTGTAATAGGAAAAGGGAAAATTACATGACAAAGAAAATTGATTAGATAATCAGAGAACTTCTGGTCTTTCTGAAGTAAAAGAAAGTTTTGCAGCTGAGTTCAGCTGTACCATGATTTAAATATATCTGAATGAAGCATTGGAAGATGTGTTACCAGTGATGGATACAAAAACAATACTGAAGACTATAATTTTAGAGGATTGCATCTGCAGTGTAAGTAATTAATTTTTAATTTCTAATAACCTACCTCATGTGACAGCGGACTTCAATTGTTGTATTGAAATTATAGAAAGATGTGAAAATTGCAAGGAAGAAATAATGTTTCCACAGAAATATGAAGAGTTTTAAATGACCCCAATGTGTAGAGATTGATCTATAATAACAAGTCGCATTTGTGAGGCTATGTGAGGGCTTTTGTGAGGCAGAGAGGGCTTTTACCTGACCATCTAGAAGGAAAACTATCTGTAGTATGATTGTGAATTACCAGTACGAGTACAAAGCCAGCTTTGGGTGATAGAAAAAATGTTAGTGTGTATATTCTACAAAAAGTGCATATTCTGTACTTTCTTATGAAGAGCTGATGAAGCAAATTCAAAACTATAGTGGAAAAAAATTGCTGAGGAAATAGAATATCTTAGAACTGGATTGTTGTTTCTTAACATTTGTTTTGTTGGGTGAATGTTAACATTCTGTTGGATTTTGTTTGTTCCTGCATGGAGGATGTTTTGTGTTTGTATGTGTCTATAAACTGACCTCTAGTTTGCTGGGAATATACTTAGTCATCATGTAAGGTATTTCAGTATAATTGTTGTGGGCTTGCACCATTTTTACCCAAATTGAAACTTCTGTCATTTCTTGTTTATGCATTCTCTGGAAAATTAAGCAGGAAAAGTTGGGTCAGAAGTTGGCTTTGTGCTGTGTTCTGAACATGGTGGGAGTACTGTTCATTTGTATCTCTGATTCAGTAGCAAGCATTCTGTGTTTTGTGTTCAGTTACTGCTATCAGAGCTGAAGAGGCACTGCAATAACACCAAGCTGAATGATGCAGCACATACAACAGAACGAAGGGACAACATTCAGAGGGACCAGGACAGGCTTGAAAAGTGGGAACACACAAACCTAATGAGGTTCATCAAGGCCAAGTGCAAGATACAGCAGTTGGATTGGAATAATCCTAGGTGTACAGACTAGGAGAACTTGTTGAGAGCAGCCCTGCAGGGAGAGATTTGGGTGTCCTGATGAATGAAAAGCTGGGCATGAGCCAGCAGCGAGTTCTTGCAGCCTGGACAGCCAACAGTATTCCAGGCTGCATCAAAAGAGGGGCAGCCAGCAGGACTCTGACCTTACAAGGAACCATCTGGAGTACTGCATCCAGGCCTTGGGCCCTCAGTGCATGACAGATGTTGGAGTGGGTCCAGAGGAGGGCAATGAAGATGTTTAAAGAGCTAGAGCACCTCTCTTATGAAGGCTTGCTTAGCTTAGAGGAGAGAAGGCTGGATGAATTTTATTGCAGCTGCCTTGTACTTACAGGAAGCTTCTATATATTAAAAAAAAAAAGATGGCAAGTGACTTTTTTCCTGGGCAGATAGTGATAAGATGAGAGGAGGAAAGGAGGAAATTTTTTACTCATGTGGTGGTGAGACACTGGCACAGGCTGCCCAGAGAAGCTGTGGATGCCCTTACAAACATACGGAGGTGTTCAAGATGTGGTTGTATAGAGCCCTGGACAGTCTGATATAGTGAGTGGCAACCCTGCCCATGGCAGGGCATGGTATGAGATTCTCTTCCAACTTCTGCCGTTCTATGATTCAGTAACCAGAGTATTTTTTTGTCTTGAGCTCCTTACAGATGCAGTTTTGCAGCTCAGTCTCCCCTACTGACCAGTAACAGCCACAGCCTGTGGCATATTGGTACATATGTTGCTATTTGGTGTACTTAAGGGAAATGTCAAGGATCTCTGGTCTTCTGCCTTCTTTTCTTCTCTTGTCAGTTTAATCCTCCAGGCAAGACACTTACAAGATGCTGAAGGGTAGCAGGCTGGTCCAAGGAGGCCTCAAAATTACAGAGATAAGATGGTTAATATGGCTTTCTAATTTGAAAGATTTACTATTGCACTATTCTGAAAATCATGTTAATAACAAAGTAGCAATGCCTGCCCTGTGGGTCAAGAGGGGAACAATTCTGTGCTAGCTCACCCTCCAGCCCCAGGACAGGTGGCCCTGGTGTTGGAGAAAACCCATTTTGTATAGCCAGATCTGGATCAGGTGATATGGGATTATAGCTTCTAACCAATAAGTGAAGAAAAATAAAAATAGGTGTCTAGTAGGCCAGACTACCTCTTATTTTTGAAAAATGACAAATGTTAGATAATTTAGCCAGTGATTTAGAATAATTGTTTATATTGGTGTTGTTACAGAGAAGTGTTTAGATATGGGGTTTTTTTTCTGTAGTCAAATCAGCGATGTCACCTATTTGGAGCATTGCATTTTGATTACCAAGTCTCAGAATATTGGAGTCTTTTTCCTCTGAAATTAGAATGCTTACATAGTTCCTAGTCTAGATTTCTGAATCCAGGTTTGTGCTGCTTATGCTATGGTTTGCTCATGATTAATAAAATATTAAGTCTTCCTTTCAGAGCAGAAATGAACAGATGGGGGAATCAGCTGATCTGATGAACTCAGTGTGTACATAGATAGAATCAACAAATAATTGTAAAAGCAGGAAAGATCACATTCAGCTCTTACCCATTTAAAAATATTTATAAAACCACAAACTAAATATACTGCCAGAAAGGCAGATTGACTAAGGGAAGTTTATTAATGTATGCATTATTTATCTGCTGTTTCATTTATAATAGGTTTAATTTAAAACTGCATTTTTTTCCAAATATTTATTCAGGACGTTGTTATTAAATGTAAATGTGGCATTTTACATAACATCAGCATTAACTTTCTGAATTAGAATTTTAAAAAGCAGTAAACAAGTCCTAAGTATTTCTTAGGAAGCTTGTACGTGCTTCTCATTTCAATGACACCAAGTCAGCTGGCAAAATGGTGTAGAAAAGTATCTATGTGAGGTAAGAAGCAGCTCTGGAGCATGTTTAAGACTGCAAAACACAGCAAACCCCTCACATGAAATCACCCTGAGCCCAACAAAAGACAAAATACTCTTGAACTGATAAAGTAAACCTGCATAATTACCCAGCTTACCCTTTCCTGCACAGTGACTCATGCCAGTGTTTGAGGTAAAATGTGTCACAGAGCGGAGTCTAGCCCCTGAAGCAGAACTGCCAGCCTTGGGGAATGTAATTGAGCCCAAGGGATGCTAAGAATGAGGTATTCCCAGTCAGATCTCCCAGACCAGGAATGGCAGTCATTAATCCTGGGTAGCTCTCATGTAAGCAGAGGCACAGTTGGTGTCTGTACTGAGGAAACAGGCCCAGACAGGATCTCTGAGAATACTAAACAAGGAGGCAAAGAGAACAATGCTACGACAATGCTGCAGCTCACATCAGTTTGTGTGGACATTACCAGTTCAGTACTGAGGCTTCAGAATCCAGTTCTGCCCCTGAAGTTCCCCACATGCTGTGAGTAGCAGGCTTGAAGCCTGACCATGTGTAAGTCATTGGGATGCAACTCTCCCAGCCTTATTGAGTACTCAGTAGTATACCAGGCACATGTCCATTAGAAAATATTTCTGTACATCACTGGTGAAAGCATGTTTAGAGGATTATGGGTGAATAAAGGAAGTCTGTTCAGAGGACAGTTGTAATAATGGAGTTTATACAACCGAAACGGCACGTGAGCTTGCTTCCTAACCTTGAACAAGGACCACCCTCAGTTGATTGAATACTGAACAAGGCTGGAGATGTATAAAAGACATTTTTTCTTATCAGGTTTTCTAACTCTCTGCATCAGCCCAGCAGTCTTCTACTGAAAGGTGATTCCCCTACTGAATGAAAATCAGGTTGCATCACTATTAATAGAACAGAAGAAGTACACATCTGCTCTATCCTTTCCTCTTGCTGTCTCCTAGGTGCTTAGTTTTGACAGCAAATGGTTCTGTTTACTAAAGGAAAAGTACCTGGACAGACCTCAGTTGCCCTGAGAAGGCTATATAGTGGACTGCAGGTACTTTCCAGATTAAAAAAACGGCTGGATAGGAAGCAGACAAAAAAAAAGCAATACAGGAAAATTGTTATCTCTCTTCATCCCTATGAATTTCAGCGGAAGTGAGCTTTCAAGATGGCTTTACTGTCTAAGGTAGCCCTTCCCATCAGAAGACTTGTGATGGAGGAAATGCACAGTTTGTCCAGGCTCTGACCTTATAGAAGGACGATAGTTTCTTGATTTGAGAAGCTGTCTTTCTGTGACTCAGAACCTGCCTTTCTGCTGATAACATCTACACAAAACAAACCCAATTCATTGATAGGGCACCTCATTTTGTGTATTCAAGTAGACAGAAGCCACGAGGAAAAGTGTGGTATAATAATAATGAATACAATTTTAAGATGAAGAGTTATCGAAGGGCTAGATATTTAGGAGCACTGTTCAGAGCATATAAAGAATGAGATAATTTCATAGGGAAGGCTATTAAGGCAGCATCTTGCAATGCCTTCGCAGAAAGTTGTAAAATCATAAAGGTGACATTAAAAAAAAAAAAACAAGCATGAAAATTAGTGTTTATGTTCTTCCTGAGAGTCAGTGATAGACAGATCACTGGCTGTGTCTGTATAAACACTTAGTGAACTTACAAATGTCTTCTGAATGTAGTATACACGATGATTTGGTTTAAGGGCATTTTAAAGCTCTTACCAACTTTGTCAGCAGTCTTGACTAAAGGTTCTTTGCCCTTCCTGGGATAGGTAGGACAGCAAAGAAAGAAGTTAAATTTAAAATGTCAAAAAACATTTAATGAGGAAGTTATCCAGCATGTCCTTACTATGTCCTATTTGGATGGGAAAGCTTGTATTCGATACACAGACAGTCCCTTAGAGGGCCCGGTCTAATGCCCCAAATGCCTCTTTTCATGAAAAGAGATTTGTGTAAATAATAAAAAGACTTGCATTGTACAGGAATTGCTGGGTTTTGCTAAAGAGCAAAAGAAAGTATAAGAATCCTTTGTCTAAAGTGCTTCAAGTAATTGCACCTCAAGAATGCTTTGTAAGTGTATAGATTGCAGTTTGACTAGCTTTTATTAACATAGTAAAAAAAGCAATCTCATCTTTCTGAACATTAGTGTAACTCTGGGCAGTTCTATTCTGGGAAACCTCTCTAGCTTTCAGGCAAAATATGATTCAATGAGTTTTGAAGTACCTTTATTGAACAGGTCGGGTGGCACAGTATCTAGTTCCTGCTTGACATACCTTGGTGCTGTCATAATCCTTGATTTTCTAATTGTTTTAAAATACAAGTGGTGAATATTGCAATAGTCAGAACTTAAATTTGTTGAAATGTGAACTTTCCTTTGATGCTACACAGAAGCAGTTCACTCTCAGTCTTGTTGCAGTTGCCTTTGTGGAGCCACAAAATGTCTGTCTGGTTTGACTTCCTATAACCAGCCTAAGAAACACTGAATAAAAACTGCTTGGTATCATATCTTGGAATATTTAAATGCAGCTTAAACTGTGTTCGTATGTGGCTACTATTTCTTAGGTACTGGATTTGAACACTGCACTTTTTGGCAGAGCAT